TCGGGCTCCCGTCTGCTAGGTAATCTGCATTCATAGTCTGGAGCAGGTACGCTAGCATGACACCAAACATTATGAAAGGCTACCACCATAGAACCATACATTCACTTTTGCGTTCCTCCTCCGTCCGCCTTGCCCGGCCGTAAGTGCTGGGTGGGCCGGCTCGAGCTTGGAGTCGAACTTGCAGTCCAAAAGAATTCTAGCGTTGTGCTTTCTGACCGCATGTTTTGCTAACATGTTCTTGTCATGTTGTTTCCTTGCATGCTTGCCAGGACAGACCACCTGCGCCTACTGGGCTTCGTCAGCGCTGGGCGTCCTTTGCTAAGCCGGTCCCAGTGACTGTTCTGCCCCTGCCTGTGTCAGGTTGTGGTTATATTGGGATAATGGAAAATAAAATGGAAACTCCTATTTAGGGTTTCCGAGCCGGGCCGTGCCCCGCCTGTCCGTGCCCTGTCTTTTGCTGCCGCCTTGCCAGCTTCGAGCCCTCCGCTACCTGCACCTGTGCCCGTTCCTCGGGCTCCACTTGCACTGGCCTGCAAATCAGTCCCCTGTCCGGCACCTCCGCCGCCAGCTGTTACTTCTCGCTGGTCGGGGTTGGGTTATAGTCCTTCTTATCGCCCCCCTAAACTTCTTTCCCTCACCCGTGCAACCTCCACGCAGCAAGCCTTACTTACTGCCTGCCTTGCCGGAGACGCCGCTCCAGCCTCCGCCTCTCCGTCCTTCCGCCAGCCTTGCCACTCCGCAGCCTCGTCCTGCCACCGTTTCAGCCGCATCCTCGCAGCTCATTCCTGCCCTGGATCTACCACCCTGGCACTTGCGCTCCCCTCCCTTTCTATCGGGGGGTGAGCTGCCGTCTTCCTGCCAGCATGTCTGACTTGGTATTCCGTGCAAAAAATGCACTGTCCGAAAATTGGCTTGCTGTGGTCCGCACATTGGGTGATGCCTCCCTCCTGCACCAGGAGGCTATGGCCACGTCCAGTCCACACATACACATGCAGCGCCCCATGTTTCTACCGTTCAGAGGTACCTGTCTGATTGGCATTCCTGGGCATCCTTTTGCCATGCCTTGTCCGCCCCTCCGCATGATCCGCCTCCGGGCGCCCTCCCCGACTGGCTGGCCACCCGTATGCATGAGTAAGCAGGGCCTGGCCGGGCCTGGCCACTGACCCACTTACTTAGAGCCCTGGCCTGGATGGCCAGGACCGCCGGCCTGCCCGCCTTGCAGTCTCGTCTGCAGCTGTCTGTCGTTCGGGCTTTTGCTGTCGCCACCTCTCCGTCCGGGAGAGCCTGCCACTTCCTCTGTCCTTTGTTGTGCGGTTGGAACGCCGTGTGTTGGACTCCGCCACCGCGTCCCTCCGCTGGGGTGACCTGCTCTGGGTGCCTCCGGACCGTCTGCAGCTCCAGCTGTCCCACGGTGCCATCTTGGGCACGGCCGTCCGCACTAAGACGACCAACCGCTCCATGCCATTTGGATTCTTGATATTCGGGCTGTCCGGCACACCGTCTGTCAATTGGGGAATCAAATTCCATCATCTCCTCCGTCAGGCCTTGGCAGACACTCTCTCTCGCCAGCCGGGACGCGTGATTGATTTCTTGCCTGCCCGCCTGGGGGTCTCCGACCTCCGCCCGCTCTTGCTGGACCCGTGTCAGCGGCACCTGGCCGTTCCTCGTCTGCTTGCGTTGCTTTCCAGACACTGGGCGGCTAATTCGCCCTCACCCCCGCCTGCGCAATTTACGCTGTATGGTGCGCATTCGTGCAAGGCTACCGTCCTTTCCTGGTCCCGTCAAATGTCGCTTGACCGGACGCTTCGCCGCATACAAGGCCATCACCGCCTGTCCGGTGCAGACCGCTCAGTCGAGCTTTATGACAGGGACGACATCCGTCCCATGCTTGACCTGGCTCGAGGTTCGTCCACCGCTTTTCCTCCTTCGCCGCCCCCGCCTTTGGAAGCCGAGCCGTCTCCAACATTAGACCTTACCGCTCTGGAGGACGCTATGCCTTCTCCAGTTGATAGTGTTTCCTCGGCCTCAGCTTCGTCTGAAGACTCGGGGCCTGAGACAATTCAGTCCCTCCTTCCCGTCCGGATTCGGAGCCATCCGCTCTGCCTCGTCCGGACCTGGCCTCCGCAGCAGAGGGTCTGTATATTTATAATCACCGCTCTAATGTGGTTCATGCTGCTCGGCCTACACCTTCCACGGACCCGTCCGGCACCCCGGACCCGCAGCATGCAGAGCAACTTTACCGTACTGCCTGTGGTTCCTGCACCAACCGTCACGGCATGGAATCTATCTGCCGCACTCTGCCACCGCGCGCTTCTCCATGCCTGCACCGTGCCTGTCGTGCAGCCATGTCTACCTAGGGTTTAGCTAGGTCTAGACCCTAACCTCTTGGACTTCTAGGGTTTGCCCTTCTTACCCCGTGTTTTCTGTCCCGCGCTCCTTGCCGCCATTCTTGCCTGTGCCGCGTCATGCGTTGCAAAACGGAACCTACCTGTACCGTAGGTGCTTTGACATGTTGGTAAATGCACCCCTGCTCAGTCTGCCGTCCAGACTCATGTTGTTCTAGTAGCATTACTGTTCTCAAGCCTAACTTTTGACTAGCTGTAGCCACCTTAGCTACTCGCAGTTAGCCATGTTTTCGGCCCGCTTCGAAGAGGCGCTCCTGTCCGCCTCCGACGAAGAGTTGTTGCACAACTTCTTTGCGGAGCTCCCCCTGGCTGCTCGTCGCCGTCTGATCGCCGTCCTTGCCGAGGCTGACGCCGCGTCCGCCCAGCACTTCTTGGACACTAACCGTCTGGATGATGATGCGGATCTGGCCGACTTGCAATGGCCATCCGATCCGGACCGCCCCTCTGAACGTCAGCCCTCGCCTGCTCCGTCCGAGAGCTCATCCGATGTCTCTTTGGCGAGCTGGGGCATTTTCGGCCGTCCGGTCGAACCTGCTGGAGGAGCCGTGTTTGGGGCAGTGCCCCGTCCGCCTGGTCGCTGTCCTCCTCAAGTGCCTGCAGACGGCTTCTTCAAGTTCCGACCCAGCACCTTTGCACCTGCAGCGAGCCGCGGCAGCCAACCGAGCAGCTGCTCCGCCCTTGCTAGTCACTCCGGGTCCGGCTGCTGTCCCGTCCGAGCGGGCTCTGCCTGTTCCGGGCTCGGCCTTCCTGCAGAGGTTCCGCCAGGCACTCGCTGGGCTAGTCCGACCGTGCCTCCGCCTCCGGACCTGCCCACTGGTGAGGTCCAGCAGTTCCTGCCCGACGTGCTCACCGTCGCCGCGTTCTCCTGGACCTGTCTGCGGCCAGCCATGTGACAATCCACAGTGTACAGACGTCTGTCCGCGTGTGGACGACCCTGCCCGGCGGAGCGGACACAGGCACCATGCCTGCGACGCCTGCCACAAGCGAGGATGGTGACTGGCAAGTTTAAGTGAAAACCCTTCACTCCGTTCACTGTGTTGGAGCGCATGTTCTGTCTTTTATTCCTACCAGGTGCTGCTACCTATTCTATCTAGTTAGTAAGCCTGTGTCTGTCCGCAGCCTTTTGTGTGTGCCCTGGCGGGTTGTGCAGATTAGCTTCAGCTTTGCACCGCCATCCCAGACATGTCACATCGTCTCGATGATGCGGCTGTAGTCTCCGCCCTGCTTCAGCAGTGGGGAGCGCCCGCATCTGTCCTGACGCGCTTGCAAGCCACAGGGTTCACCACCTTAGGTTTGCTAGGTCATGCCTTGCCTTCTCCGGATGCTGAGGACTCCTTCCTCTGCACGGTCCTTGAGCTTGATCCGGCCGATTCAGCCATGCTCCACTCAGCGCCGGCCGCCTGCCTGCGCCGTCTGTTGTCGCATGCGCAAGACCTTTGCCCTTCTCAGTACACGGCCGCACCTGCGTCTTCATCCCTTAATCCTGCTCCGTCTGCGCAATCGCACAAGCTCATGCCGTCCGAAGTGCAGGCCATGCGCCAAAAGTTCCTGGCCAGCTACCGGTGAACTCCTCACTCCGGAACTTATGCCCGCGCCGGAGCTCCTGTCCGCATTGCAGCATGCGTTCGCTACTGGAGCGTCCCCGTGGTTGCCCTGGCGATCGCGGTGCACTGAGGCAGACGCGATTTCGTGGCACGATGCCCGCCGTCCGCGCACCGACCGGCAACTGCTTCGGATTTTCCTTGAAGCCGAGGAAGAATCCCCGGGCCCCACAGCTTTCGTGCCTAACTCGGGCCCGATTGAGCCCACCGTCCGCAAAGCCTTGTCTGTCCACGCCACCGCTCTGTCCATGCTTGAGAAGGTGCACCTTCTCGTGATCAAACGGTTCAACGACAAATTTTTGTCGTTTGCTTTGTCCGTCCCGTCTGACCCGTCCCTGCGAGGCCCATCCCTGCAGGAAATCCTTGCAGCCGACCGCGCCGTCTGGCAATCCGTGCATGCACTCATGCGGGATCAGTCGTGGACACTGTCAGACAGCCTTGATGAAACCTTCTGCCGCCAGGACATGTCGTCTGCTCTGCAGCCCCGTCCGCGCGTGCAGCGTCCGCCTCAGCCGTCGCCGACCGGTGGGCAGAAGCGCAAACGCAGGTCTGGCGGTGGCCAGGGAGGCAACAACCGCCCGAAGCCCAAAGCTAAGCCGGCCGCTTCCGCGCAGCAGGTGCCTGCGGCAAAGGCATTCGATAAGTCCTGGTTCAAAAAGGTGAACGGGATTGAGACCTGCGTGAGGGGAGCTCTGCGGCCGCTGCAAGGATCCGAACTGCCCGCGTTCCCACCTCTGTCCGGTCCCGCTTGCCAACGGCAAGCCCTGCGCTCAGAAGCACACCGCTCTCGAACACCTGTCCACCAAGCACTGACTATCTGACCGGCATGAGCAGTCAGTCGTGACCGAGGTGGAATCCGTGTCATCATCCTCCGACCGAGAGGTAGTTATTCTGCCTCCTACTCTGCCAGATCCGGCCATAGCAACCTCCTGCCCCTCAACAGCATCTGTCTGTCCGCCCGTAGGTAGCTTTCCTCGCCAGCTTGCCCAAGTGCATGCCTCTTATCCGCCTAAACCGGTCGCTTCACCCAGCTCTGCCCGCACTGTGGTGGGCGCGTTTTCTCTCTGCGGGCTGCTCTGTCTCCGCCTTGTCGGATTCGGTTCCGCTGCCCGGGTGCAAGCTGTTTGTGGACTTGTTCGCGGGTGCTTCGGCACCCCTTTCCGCAGCCATTGCCGCCCTCGGCTTAGCCCGTCTTGAGCCTCTCGACAAGCTTCACGGGTGTGGTTTCGACTTGCTGGATGACGTACAGTTCCCCCGTCTGTGTGCTCTGGCCTGTTCCGGTATAGTTGGTGCGGCCGCAGCGGCACCTCCGTGCGCACCTTTCTCCAGAGCGCGTTTACGGCCTGGTGGCCCGAAGCCTGTCCGCACTCCGGACTTTCCTACCGGTATTCCGGACCCGTCCCCTGCGCAGCAGTCCGAGTTGTCTACGTCCGCCCTGCTTCACGAGCGGGCTCGCCACTTTCTGTCTTTGGTGGCTGCCCATGGCGGGCTCATCATTTTAGAGAATCCGTCCTCCAGCATTCTCTGGCTGGATCCCGCTGTCCGCTCCTGGCTTGCAGTTCATGCGCCGTACTGCGCACATGTCGCCGCATGTCAGTACGGCCTTGCACTTCCGAAAGCCTGGGCTTTCTGGGCCAACTTCTCCGTTCTTGCTACTGTGGCTTGCAAATGTCCGCATCCGCCTAGATTTCACCCTCCATTTGCCGGCCGCCGTAATGCGGATGGCTCTTTTGCCACCCGCCAAACCGCTTGCTATCCGGACGCATTGGCAGCCGCCATTGCGGCGCAGATTGCACCTTTCCTGTCTGTCCGCAGTGCGGCCGTGGCCTTTGGTGAATGGCCGTCCTTGCTTCAGCCCTCCTTCATCTGGCCTCAGCCGTCCGGTCGAATTCAGGATGGTGCCGGGACTTGCAGCTCAGCTTTCTGGGGCACACCCAGAGAGCCCGACGTCCTCAAGCCATTGCGTTCAGCCTGGTGTAGCCGACTGCAGACACCCGGTCTTTTGCCCGGCCTGCTTGCTCACCTTGTTTCTCCCAGCAAGGAGCCTCCGTTGTCCAAGTCTGCCCTTGAGCCATTTCTGGCCGACCTGAGGCTTTTCTATGTGACGCCACATGGGCCAAACTCCTGCACATTGATCCGGGACAGCCGTTATGCCTCAACCTTTGGCATTGCCTGTCTGTCCTTACAAGAGACCCGGATATGGACTTTTTCCATCTTCTACATGAAGGTGTCCCCCTGGGCATCGGCGAGCCCATTCCGCCCTGCAAAGTGCTTTTCCCTCCGGATCCGCCTTCGGAATCCGTCCTGCCACTTCAGCATTGTGACTTGGCATGGAAATCCGCGCTGGACCACGCCGATCTTGTTGACGGCCTTCTCGATGCCGAGCTTCAGGAAGGATGGATCCGCCCGGTTCCGGGCGGCGATGCCGCGCTCCGCCAGCTTTACCAGCGTACTGCCGTCGGTAAGCTAGGCGTCGTCGTGTCTCCTGACCGTCCACCGCGGCTGGTGGTGGATAGCTCCGTCAGTGAGGTTACCTCCAATACCTGCCTTCCCAATAAGGCTCCTAACCCCAACCTGTCTGACGTACGCAAGTGCATGCTTGCCATTCTGTCCGTCACAGGAGAAGTTGGCGGCACTTGTCTTGGACGTATCAAAGGCCCATCGCCGCATCCGTATCCGTCCGCAAGACCAAGGCCTGCTGTGCTTTAGGCACCGGTCCGTCCTATATCAATCCCTCACCCTCAACTTTGGTGCTCGGGCATCAGGTTTCTATTGGAACCACCTGGCTGGCTTGCTGGTCCGGCTAACACACCGTCTGTGGCACGTCCGTCATAGTGCCCAAATTTACGTGGACGACCTCCTCACCATCTTGCTGAGATCGTCTGCCCCGCTCCTTGCTGCGGTTCTGGTCGTACTCCTGTCCGTTCTTCGTGTTCCGATGAGTTGGCACAAGGCCGAGCTCTCTGCCCGTGTGACATGGATTGGATGGGCATTTGATTTCGACCATTTCGTCGTGCAACTGGATCCAGCAAAGCTTGCCCGTCTGTTAGCTTTACTCCGCCAGCTGCAGTCTTCGCCGAAATGCACAGTCACTATTCTGGAGAAGCTGACCGGGAAACTACTGTGGCTATCCAACCTCTTCTCAGCCCTCCGTCCTTCCTTGGCGCCACTTTACATTGACCAGCATAGTCCAGTACCTAACATGTGTGCTATATCCCCAGAGCTCTGGGCGTCATTCCGTGCATCTCTATCGCCTGAGCTTCGCGTTGTGCGCCCTCTGCCTCTTGCGGCCATTCCCGTGGGCTGCAAGCTCTTGCGCTACTCCCACACGCCCGCTTCAGCCTTAGCAGACCTGCCCGAAGTCATTTCCTCCCGTCGCGTCTGGGTCCAGGTTGCCAACCCCTTCGCCCGGATCGCGAACTGTCTGCCGAATCCCGTGAGGTAGTTCGTATGTGGACTGACCTGGCTGCCTCGCCCTGTCCATTTCGATCTTTGTTTCTTCGTCCGCTCTTCATTTGCGAGGCCTTCGCAGATGCGTGTGCGGACTCATCCCTGGCCGGCCTTGGGGGTTTTGTCCGCCTGCCAGACGGCCGCC